TTAGGGAGACATAGACTGGTTTGTAAAAGGGAGTGACAGTGGGTAGGTCACTTCTCTTTGGCTTTGTTTTCCATTTGTAGAGTGGACAGAGCTACTGTGTCTGTTCTCTTCACAACTTATGGATATATTGTGAGGGTCAATGTAGAAGTGAGTTTTGAAACTAAGCAACTTACTCAGATTTTAGGAAAAAGAAAATATCTTTGTTTTTTATTGTGATGTATGATTTGAATAGTCCTATGATGATAGAGTATATTCTCATGGAATCATTCTGGAAAGTCACTTCCTCCTTTCTACCTTCTTGATGGATAGTTTCCTCCTCTGATGACAGCATTTCCCCATGAAAGCAGTTCTATTTTCTGTATTTTGACCCCTTTTCCCAATACCCCTTTTGGCCTTTGTCCAGAGTGATAGAGCAAGTGCAGAGCTTGGAGACTTAGTCCTAAATTGGGAGCCCATGTTCCATTACCTACCAAACTTGTAACCTTGGATGAGCCACCTGGACTCTCTTGGACTCATGGATTCTTTCTCACCAAACTGGAATAAAACAGTATCTGTCCCTATAATCTCACAGATTTGTTATAAGATTCAAGTAAAAAATGCATAAGAATATTATATAAATCATCGAACCTATGTAAGGATTATTATTATTGTTACTATTATGCCTGTCATTTATTCTTTCATCAGTTGAGCAGTGTTTTGGAAGTAAGGCAGACATTCCTAAGTGCAGTGAGGGAGGGAGGCATGGAGAGGATGGAGGCTGAACTCTCAGGGGCCATGCAACTTCCCCGAGGGTGAGACAGAGAAGAGACAGTAACATAAATTCAGGCCATGTCTGCAAGACTCTTGACTACTTACTGCTATTCCCCTACCAACCCCCATTTTCAGACTCAACACTTCTTGCAAACGGGAATGAGAAGGTCCATTCATCCATTCATTCATTCATATTTGTAAATGTGCATTTGGGGCCTGATGCAGTACTTTATAGGAAGTGCTCTATAGCAGTTTGTGGGCTCTTTATCTCTTCCTTCCCCCTATGTTGATAGATATCCTCTCTATCTCCCCCTTCCCTTTTCCCTTTCTCCCTCCCTACATTGATTTCTGCAAGTTTAGTCTTTACATCCACCTGGGTTCCTCCCCTCCCCCTGCCGCCTCGCCGGTGCGTCTAGTTTCCTCTCTGCCTGGACTCCCATGCCACACACCCATCACATCTTTCCCCCATATAAAACTGAGGCTTTGCGGTCAGGTTGTTAGGCAGAGCGAAGAGAAGAAACAGGCTATCATTAGAGTTGCAAGGGGCTATGACCCCAACAAGTTGAAACAAAGAGGGGCTTTATTTTATGGATATAAGGTGGAGTTGGGTACTGTGAAAACACGAAGCTGTCAGGGCTGACACAGCTCGTCTCTCCTCCCCCCTCCCTTCATCCCTCCCTGTCTACGCAGCCACTGCCCAGATGGGAACCTCAGCCCCCAAACCTGACTTTTCCATTCTGCCTTCCACAGTTGACTAGCTCAGTCTCTCATTGTTCAAATTCCAAATTCATAAGAATAATTTGATTGACTGAGGTTGGGCTATGTGTCCCATGTGGCTAAGGGATATGCAGGTAGTGTGACATAAGCGTGGCCATCCAAGCCCACCCCTTCAGCACGGATTGTGGTTGAGGGTTGTTCCCAGAGAAGGAGCATGCTGGTGACAGACTTCCCCCCAACTATGTCTGTCATGAAAGGAACAATCAGAGGACCCCTTAAACAACACCCAAGGAACTTAACATTAGTTATGTCTAGATATTCATGTTTTTATTCATTCATTAAACTAATATTTATTGAGTGGTTACCCCACAAATGGCAGTGCCCAGTGGGTCATATCCACCTCTGAGCCCCCTCACCCATTATTATTCAAAGCAGGGTCTGCCTTATCTGCAAGGCCACACTCCTCCTCCCCCTGCCCCTAGTCCCAGCCCCTGGGAGGTCCCAGTCTGATGGAGGAGGTGAGGTACAGCTCTCACAGAAGGCCAAGGCAGGAGGGAGGAGAAAGCATGGGTCCTTGCCTTCAGATGACCCTCAGCCGGACCTGTGCATCTCTCAAGTGCTCACCAGAGACCCCTCCTGCTTCCAGAACATTTCTGCCCATTGCTGACTTTACTAGCAGATTACAGAGGTCAAACCCTTGATCAAGGTGGTATGGGCTCCCAGGCCAGCTCTCCAGGCCCCACAGTGAGCTTTTTCTGGTCTTGCTAAAAATAGAACACTCAGAGCTGCCTCTCTCAGGAGAGTCCTCAGCACTAGAACACGTACACGTGCACATGCACACACGTGCACATGCTCCTGGCCTGCCCCAGACTCGGACACAGTGTGGAGCCTCCACAGTATGAGTTAAGCCTCTTCTCCCTGCAGACCTTGGTGTTCTTGTCATGAGGATAGGTTCAAGGACCCCTGGGAACAGGAGCAGGCCCACCAGGCCCTGAGCCCTGCTCCACTGTAGCTGTCTCCATGGGGGCCGTTGGAGCTGAGCAGATAAAGAGATCCAATCAGGCCTGTGGCCAGCAACTCCACTGTGGCTGGCAGACAGTTCTTGTGAAAGTGGTTGCAGAATGTTGAGGTTTTGAGATGGCCAGGGGAGGGTGGGGAAAGAAGGTTCTTAGGTATTGTAGCTGAAAGATGCCAGGGAGAGAAAGCTCCCTCATGGTCTTGGGTCTGGGCCTCAGCCTGGCAGTGCCAGTCTCTGCAAAGGCGTCCACTGACCCAGGGCTGGGCTGACACAGGGCGAGCAATGCCCTGACCAGAGGCACTAGGTCCTAATAGATGTACAGGCACAAACCCAATCCCTGACCCAAGAGCTGTGAAGGGCAAGGTCACAGTAGACGCAGCCATTCTACAAGTACATATCGGGGCCCTGCCAGGCACTGTATTAGGCACTGAGGCTACAGTGAGCAGCAGAACAGGCACATACGCCTTTTCTGTATGGCACTCACAGACCTGTAGGGAGCTGTAGCTTCATCAGTTCCAACCACAGAAATACATGTATAATTAGAGTGATGTTAAGTTCTATGAAAGGGGCTATAAGAGTAAGGACCAGGAAGACCCCGACATTTGAGTTGGATCCAGACGGGCTGGGACAGGAAAGGCTCCATGTGGATGGGGCCTGGAGGGTCAGTAGGACTCATCAGCCACAAAAGGGGAAGGGTCTTCATGGTTGAGACCCATAGCAGGTAGGGTAGGTCTGTTTCAGGAGCTGAAAGCCAGTGGGTTTAGAGGGCAGAGGAACAGAGAGAGGACATGGGGCTCTGGAGAGGGGAGGTGGCAGGGGCCAGACTATGTGAGCTTGGAGGCTTCTTTCTTTAGGAGAAGCTGCACCGAGGGCCAAGAAAGGAGGCAGAGGGGATAGCATGGGCATGAGACCAGTGGTGCCCAGGCCCCCAGGGCCTCATAGTCCTATGGCCAGGAGGGATGGAGGGAGAGCAGTTGAAGGGCTGGCTGGTCAGGCCCTGATCCCCGAGGACACCCCCCATCCTCTCTCTCTCACCCGCTGAAGATACGGAGATAAGATCAGGGCCCAGGCCTGGGACTGGGGCTTGTGAAAGGGATTGCTGAAGGGCCTGTTTCAAGAGCAACCGTCAGGCCAGGGGCGTTGGTGTGGGAGGAGGGGTCTGTGGAAGGTGTGGAGCCGGGTGTAGGTAAGACATGGGGGATAAAGGGCAGGAGACAAGGACACTCAGAACAGCCCTGCTGGGAGTCTGGAGCAGGTACAGGGATGGACACCTGAAGAAGGGGCGAGGACAGGAAGGCTGCAGAGCTCAGCCGGGGTGGTTCTGGAGCTGAGTATGGAGAGACGAGCACAGGTCCTCCAGGCAGACCAGGGAGGGGCCAAAGCAAAGGGTGAGCCTGGCTCATGCAGCGGAGGGAACTGCAGGAGGAAAGACAGAGGGTGTGGGGGCCTGTCCCTCAGGGAAAGACCGCCTGGGGTGTTCTGTCCTGAAGATGTGGAAATGAAGGCTCAGCCAAGGTTGCGCAGGTAGGAACAGACCCAGGTCCCACCCAGGTGGCTCTGAGTCCCTGCAGTAAGCCGCCTCTAAGGAAGCTACCGCCCATCACCCCAACAGGAAGCCAGAATCTACACCTACTGCTCAGCGCACACCTACCACTGCTAAGCACTTAAATTCGTGGAGGAGCACCAAGCCCAAGACAGGTCTTCAGCTCTTATGGAGGCCTGCTACCATTGCTCTGCTGGGTGTTTACTGTGACATCTCACTGTGTCCCCCAGATGGCCCCATGAGGTAGCCCCTTTAATTTTCAAGCCCTGACTCAATTATTGCCTCAGCTTCTACTGGCATCTTAGAGAGCTAGTAGGATATGGAGTAAGGGAGAGTGGCTGAATCATTAATCCTACATCATGAATTCACCCAACAAACATTTATTGAGCACCTACTGAATGCCAGCCCTTGTTCTGGGCAGGGGGTGAAGGAGGATGGTGTATGGGGAGATACTACAGTAAGGCAGACCCAGTTTCTGCCTTATTGGGGAAGGAGAAGACCATTTCCAATCATCTGGCCCAGGGGCCATTTTAGGGGTGTGGAAACTGAGGCCTGGGGATGGGACGTGACCATACATACTAGTGAGTGGCAGGCCCAGGCCCAGTCCTCTGCTGAGGGATGCTGTGCCTCAGTCACCAGCAAATATTCCCTGAGCAACCTGGGCTCTGAGAGATACATATCAGTGAACTCAGTGCAAAGAGGGTGGGATGGGGTGAGTGGCTAGGTCCCCAGGATGGTGAGTGGCGAGGAGGGGTGTTTCAGTGTCATGACTCCCCCCAAAATAAGAGGGAAGTTCTAGAGCTCCACCTCAAGAGGCTGGGCTTCTGGGGCCCAGAGCTCCCCTCCCACACCCTAGGACTGGATATAAAAGTCCCTTCCCAGCTGCTTCCAAAGAACAGCAGGAGGAGGGAGAGGTCAGCTTGGGGTCCTCCAGGTGACAGGGGAGTAGGGGAGTCCACCGGTACGCAAGACATGGGTGTCGCTCATGTCACTCGTTGCCCCGCTGTGGCTGGGGGTCTCCTTATGAAGACGAAGCTGCTCTTGGCCCTGGCAGGGGTCGTCGTCACTCTTGTCCTGGCCCAGCCTTGTGTGGGCACTGCCCCAGGTAATGGCCCTTGGACGGCCAAGGAGAAGGTCAATGGAGGGGGAAGGGCTTGGGTCTGGGGGGCTGCGGCTCCCCTGGATCCTGAGTCTCCTTCCCTCTGAGCAGCTTCCCCCAGGGCAGTGGAGACCTCGGTCCTTCAGAGCTGCATGACAGAGGCCAAGTTGCTGGTGGATGCCGCCTACAATCAGACTCAGAGGAGGTGGGCCTGGGTCTGGGGTCTGTGTGGGCCCGGAAGGGTCGATGAGGGAGGACGGGCTCCATTCAAGGTCATTTCACCCATCACCCTGCCCCGGGCCCATGGGGCAGTGCCATGCTGGCAGAGCCTCCCTCCCATCCGTATATCTGCTAGCACTCCCCACTGCCCACCACCTGGGATGGGGCTCCGCAGGGGGCCTGCCTCCTTTGATCGGCCCTCCCCCCTCCTTCTGGGCAGCATCAAGCAGCGCCTTCGCAGCGGCTCTGCCAGCCCCGCGGACCTCCTGTTCTACTTCAAACAACCGGTAGCGGCCACTAGGACAGTCGTTCAGGCTGCCGATTATATGCACGTGGCCTTGGGGCTGCTGGAAGAGAAGTTGCAACTCCAGGAGTCCTTCAATGTCACTGGTACTGTGCTCCCCACTGAGCCCCCAGGGCTGCGCTGGCCTGGGAGTGGAAGGGAGCCGGGAGGGGGGAGGCAGGGTGCGCAGACGTGGGGTGTTGGGAGGGGAGAGGGTAAAGGGATGGGAGGTACAGAACAGATGAGCTCGGGAAGGAGCTAGGATCCTGGATCCTGGATCCAGGCCCCTGGCCCCTGCCCCACCCCCAGATGTGCTAACGGAACCCCAGCTGTGGCTGCTGTCCAAGGCCAGTGGCTGTGCCGTCCAGGGCCAGGAGGAGGCGTGCAGTAGCAAGTATCGCACCATCACCGGGAGATGCAACAACAGGTGGGTGCCAGGGGCTGCACCTGACTCAGCTGGGGGACTCCCTTCCCTCCCCACCCATCCCTACACACCAAGTGGTGTCCAGGCCCGCTTGGGTCAGCCAAGTGCTGACCCCGGCCCACCCCCTGCTGCAGGAAGAGACCCTGGTTGGGGGCCTCCAACACCCCCCTGGCTCGCTGGCTGCCGGCCGAGTATGAGGACGGGCGGTCGCTCCCCTACGGCTGGAACCCTGGCAAGAGGCGCAGTGGCTTCCTCCTCCCTCTTGTGAGTTGGGGCTGAGGACCTGGAAGATGCTTGATCTCAGGGGTGTGTGTGTGTGTGTGTGTGTGTGTGTGTGTGTGTGTGTGTGTGTGTGTGTGTGTG